AAGGCAGTGTGAGAGAATCAGCACACTCCTTCAAAGCTAAGGGTGAGACAGCATCCGGACCACAAGCTTCGGTTGCCTTTAATCTTTTGAGTTCCTTGTAGACGTTGCTTTGATCGAAGGGCGCGGCTGGACTTGAGCTAATGAAGGAGGGCAAGAAAGATGAGCTTAGTGAGGCGGAACTAAACTCCGAATTTAGTTTATCCACATCCACTTCATCACTCCGGCTGCAAACGCTCTTCCATTAGAGCTGTCTCAGAAGTCCCCATAGATCGCGACAGTTATCGTTGCCTAGAACTGCTACAATGTTTAGTCTTTTTATCTCTGATTTACTTGCCGTGGTTAGGCTTTTGATACGGGTAGCATTCTTGCACTTTTAGGCCGATTCTTTCATCCTCCCAAGTCGCTTTAGTAGTGGTGATGAAAATCTATCTGCTCTTAGATAGCTCCTTTCAACAGGGCAACACATGTCAAAGCAATATTCGATATAGTCCGTAAGATGGTCACATTCGAGCGACAGGTCCTCGTCGTTGAAGACCGAAAAATCAGTTAAAGGAAACATCGTCTGGAGCCTCGTGATACTTTCCAAGGAGAAACTTTGCCGTTTGAGAATCTTGTAAGGACGTCTGGTCAGCGTTAAAAAGTTAGACCTGCTGTATATGACTGGACGCAGTTTTAAAATACCATGGTCTGAGCTGCTCAAAGGAGCCCGCTTTTGTATGGCAAACAACTGTCGTTTAGTTGTGAGCACGGCGTCCAGCTAGGCATTTTGTCTGGTCGAAGCAGTCACTAGGTCTACCAAGCCAAGTGTCTTCAAGAAAGTTGTATCCTTTCTATTGAGGTCGCCAGCAACAATATAGATAGAGTAATCTAATTTATGCAGTAGTGTTGAAGAAAGTTGGTCCTTAAAAAGCTTTAACTCTGATGCAGATGTGTCAGGAGCAATTTATAGGTCTCCAGCGATGACTGACCGGAGCCACTTAGGAACTTCGGTTTGCATTCAACTAAATGGCAGCGTATAGAAATCGTTGAGTACGGAACTATTATCATTGCTGCGTTCCACCAACGTTGATTTACATATCACGCCACCACCACGAAACTGCGGCTTCCCGGGGCTATCAGACCTGATGGAAAAATGACCATTGACTTGAATTACCCCATTTTCCACATCAGTATGCAACCAGCTTTCTTGTAACAGTATGATTCCTGTATTAACATACTCATTTCGCTGCATAATGGCATTGAGATCACTGATTTTACCAAGGAGCGAGCGAACATTACTGGAAAGTATCAGTGGGACTTGCGCTTTGTCGACGGAACAACGACTTAGGCCAAATTGCCAGCCAGCATGATGCTTGCGCTTTTTTGCAAGACATTTATTCCTAATACCTTTGCGTGTTCCTGACTTCATGACCTTATTCGATGAGGCACGGATTTAAGGCAGTAACACGTAACCTTTTCAAATGGTTGACAGAGTAGGTCAACATTGACCGTGAGACTTGATCAGAAGAAACAAATTGTTTCGAAGTAAAAGATAAAATATAGGATCCGCAGTCGAGAGCAGCAACAGCCGAATTTGAAGGCCCAGCTAGCTTAGTTGAAGAGGATACAACTTCGACAGGGTCAAAGTAGATAGCCTGATAATGCACAACGTATAGATCCGGTCGCCTTATTCACATCGACCTAGCCCGTTGGGTATGGAACAAAACTAGGTGATTATCGTTCTTCCCCTCGCTCAGTCACCAATGGAGTCATTCAAGGGAGCGTGCTCGGCCCCTTACTCTTTTGCTCAACATCAATGACATCACCGCATCTGTAAAACATGGTACAACATTTTTATTTGCTAACGATATCAAACTAGTTTATAAGTTTCGGCGTGACGAGCTTCACGGGACATTACTGCTCATTCAAGATGATTTACATTCCCTTGAGTCATGGTGCTGCACATGGGTGATGAACCTCTCGGTTAAGTAATCAAGCATCATGTCTTACGGCTGCTGCATCCCCGAAGGATCTAACACCCTAAACAACGAACGCGTCCCTACACAGTTGTCCACGCAAGATCTTGGCATTAGGTACTCGTCTACCTTCAATTTCTCCGAACAGGTCCAATACCAAGTAGCACGTACCAGACAGTCTATGTTCAATATATCAACCAAAATACACACAACTCGTGCTAGAGTTGAGCTTTTCAAGCTACTCACTCGCCCCATCCTCGAATACTGCAGCATAATGTACGGAAATATGAGAAGGAGTGACAGAATTGCTGTGGAGAACCTGCAGAGGTCATTTACTAAACATCTGATTGGTAAACACTCCGCAATGAGTTATCGAGAACGTTGCAAGGAACTCCATCTCGAACCACTTTGGATTCGACGATTGAAGCAAAACTTGTTGCTGCTTTTCAACATGTTACTCAAAAAGACCTATTCCAACCTGCCTACACTCAATTTACAACATTGCTCAACTCGAGCGCTTCGCAACAAAGATTTACACTGAATATACCGAAGGCCAGAACGAACGTCCGCTCTAATTTCTTCCTGGTCAGATACAGCTATCTGTGGAATAAACTACCAATAACACTCAGGTCATGTGACAATATGGCAACATTTAGTAGCAGACTCGCCAATTACCTTGATCTAACTAGCTCTAGCTCTATATTCACATGGTAAAAATCCCTCGATGTGCTATTCCAAGAGGGGCCCAAAAACATATAAACACCAATGTTTTCATAACTAGGCTTTGGCCTCAACCACCCGGCAGAATGGCAATAAATGAAACGCATATCCCAATACTCCACCTATGCATGTCACCCATGCAAGAGCATGGATTCTTCTGTACAAATTGATCTGTGCCACTATCGACACAGTTTCTCTCATCAAGAGAAACATATGTACTATTATTATTATTATTAGTACTATTAATATCATCATGTTGTCGGCCTGACACAGAGTACAAATGAGACTGAAAGAATTTCTCCCGATCTCGATAGTACTCCTGCAGCAGACTCAAAGCGCACAGCTTTCATTGAAGACTCTGTTCAAGAGCCAGTCATGATACAGTGAAATTACCAGCACCGTAATGGCTCGAATAAATACTACTACTACTACTAATAATAATAATACGCATATTTATCGTTTTTGTGACAGGCTACCCCTCGTATAGTGTGTATTTCTCGTGATACCGAGAAACCGTGCACACAAAGGGACGGATCGTGTTTACGTATGCAGCATGCTTTCGCATACAGGGATGTTGATGGTTGGGGTTTATGCCGGGATACAATAGGGATATTTGTGAAAATTTTCACTTGAAGCTTCCACTGTCATTTCTTATCAGTTCACGGGTATTTTCAGATGTTTGATTCTAGTGTAGATCCGGGTGCCATGATAATGGCGGGTCTATGAAAGGGGACGACCAATTTGATGAGTACGGAGCAAGTTATTTACTAACGGAAAAACTATCCATGGTACAAGTGTATCCAGATGAGAAAGGAGAAAGAAAGCTACGATTCTTACATCAATGTAACTCCATAATAGTCTTCAAAGCTTCAGCCGCCCTAACCTAGCAATCTATGGGAGTATGCACATACGTGGGATTTAGGACGTGCTTAAATGCTCCCAGGTCTACACGTCCGATTGACCTGATCGATCCAAATGTGTTGCTTGTTGCGGTATGGTTGAGAAGTGAGCTTAACTCAGTGCCTTTCCTCCCAGCGTTCACTTGCAGGTGCAGTTCCATGGCTTTTGTGATAATGTGACGGAATAGGTAATGTTGACATGGGAGAGGTAAGGTATTTCGGTTTGTATCTCCTTTCAAAACGCATTTGGGGGGACGAATTGTCCAGTTGGTATAGTCGGGTAAAATGTCCAGTGTGTTGTATAGTGGGTGAAGGGCAAGATGTATACAGTTAGCGTTTCGTTTTAGCTTCCAACCTGTGGGTGGAATGATGGAACAAAGGTTTATGACAGGTAAACAAAATCCTAGGCTGAACATATCCCGTAAGTTGGTGATAGAAGAAATTGCGATTCAAATGCGATGAAGCGATGGAGTAGTGGCATAAAAATAGGGTTTCTGGGGTTGAGGTGGTACCACACAATAAGGAATAACAATTCGTTATGGTCAATGCGAATAGCAAACAACATTCGGACTGTGGATGGCATACAGTGATTCGGTTGGCTTCGGCTTTCTGTAACGCATTTGTAAGTGCGGACTGTCAGATTAGCATGGCCGAGGAGAATATCGAATACTTCGGGATATGCGAGGATTAAGAGATACATGCTTACCTTTCTAGAACCATTCGATCTACCCTACGCAGATGAATGTGGATGATCTATTGTGGATTACTCCAAGCATACTTTTCCAAAAGAATTTATGTATCAAATGGACCCAAGTGAGCGAGTACATATTTTACTTTTCTCAAGCCTTATATCAACGACTACTGCACCACAGTGTATTTCTGAACGTTTACGCTCGATTTTTTCTCAAAAATCTTACACCGATGTTATTTATCAAAGTATTCATCACGGCAGATGTTTGGTAGATGCTCCACATATATTTTGATTTCATCGCCTTCACCCCAACCATCCTACGGGACGTGTCAAGCACTTGCTTTTATTCTGTAATAAATCATATTTTATTTCGTTTTTTTCATGCATGATGGAGGTATATAGCTGGAATCATAGCTGGTGACATGCATTTCTGGACTTACTTTTCACTGGTCACCCCACACCGATGTTACCACCTTGATTGAGGATTCAGATTCTGCAGCGAAGCTGCCGAGCTTGTGGGGCAACTCACCAAATGGAAAACCAACCCCAATTGCCGCCGCTAACCATAATAGTAACGCTTGTCTGCCCCGCCACTTCCATTGAGAATCGCAAACCTTTATTTCAGTATTATTATTTCTTTGTTGTCGTTTCATTCGTTCATCTACCTAACGACCTATGCAGACCCGTGCTACAGCTATGCATTAGAGTCTTCCTTCTTCCATTCTCCCTTCTCAGCGAAATCGCCTTCTTCTGAAGACGACGAGCATTACCGTTCCACGCGTTATAAGGAAGGCTTGAAGAATATGGCAAACCTGATGGACGATGTCGAACTAAATGAGGAAGTACTGCGTACGGTCAAAAGTCGATTTGATCTTGGCTGATGATCATCGCACCGAAGTTGTTGCCATCCCCTCAGAGCCACCGAGAACATTTACCTTATTTATCCTGCTTGTAGATGAGATAATTTTTTTATTGCCCATGAAATTTTCTCAGTCGTCCCTGGGGAGGAAGAGAGAATATAAAAACACTGTTAAATGGCACATTTTACCATCCAAAATGTCAAACCGGTATACTCGGCCATTAAGACCAAGTAAATCACAACTTGAATGCGTACCACTAATGAGTCCCAATGGAAGGTCTGTTCACTTTCCGGAACGGTAGTTTACTTATCAAATAAAAATAAAAATTATTTGGAAGATATGACAATGACTGATTGAACCGGCCCGAAATACTGACGATCGACCGGTTACCATTTACACAAGTTGATCGAATAAACACTAGCACAAAACACCAGAGTATTTTCACTTGAGGCTGATCGCATGGCGGACGTGGGTAAAGTATGCGAGTAGAAAACTCTCCCAACAGACAGGTGCCACTCCGTCACATTCTCAATCTTCAAGAGAGGCTCATATTTGGAGTGCGGCAATCGTCGAAGAATCAATCTGATCTCAATTGCCTCTAAATTGCTTGTGTCTGCCGCTCTTCATAGCATGATTAGCACCTGTTAAAGTCAGGTTCATGAAGAGCAAGTCGGGTTTCGTCGAAATCGAGGCTCATCACCATCATCATCATTACACGTTAGCTAGAGGTGGAATACACCTCAGATATTGTGCCGCAATACAAAGACAAGAAAAGGAAAACAAACGGTGGCACGCCCGCTGAGTCCCCAGTAACGGATGGACATCGTTCCGGAGAGCTAACAGCTGGCTGCCGTAAAAGAAAGTCATATTATGCCTAACAAGTGAGATTGTGATTAGAGAGGGATGCTAAGCAGGAGGGGGATGGATAAAGGAACTCACAACACAAACGCCATTGCGGCCGGCTCCAAGCCATATTAGCAAGTGTGTCCAACCAAGCGTGTTCACCGTCCTTAGGACCCCAGCCAGGCAGTCGGGATGCATCAACCGACGCCAACTTCAAAGTGAAGCTTTTCATTTCTCTCGACCAAGTCATCATTTGGCCTCCCCTCCTCTTCCAACCGCACCCACAACGAGCAAACAATGCACGTCGCGGGAGTCGGTGTGCTGGCATGCTCGAAATCGAGGCTGCATCGACCACATCTTTACTTCGCGTCAATTGTTGGAGCACTGCCATATTCTGGAGAAGATTGGTCGCAGCTAGACGCAGCTAGGCAGTCAGCACATATTCAGAAAAGCGCTAGACGGCCTTTTCGTCCTATTTGGGCTCGTCATTAGCGCGCACCCGCTGAATCCTGAAGAATCCGGACCCGTGACCTTACCCTTACGAGTCAGCGACTTATGCCATGGGTGATGGCGGCGGGCCGCCACAACTGATATGCAAATGTGGTATAACGCGAATCACCCTCCACTGTGATGCATGTTGTAAACGTAGAGTGGACAGGGCTGGCCTCCAGAGTTGCGAATTCCTTTGCAAGCCGCCACCAACCGAAGTAATATGTAAGCTGGCGAGCTGATTACTGACTATTAGGGAGTAGTAGAGGGCCTGTTGTGTTTTGGAGAAACACAAGTATCACGAATGCGCTCATTGTGTTGAAATTGCAAAGTAATCCCTTTGGCTGCATCCCTCGCTATACATCTACCAACCAACACGCCTTTGTACACGGATAATGGGTGACAGCGCCTTTGGAGCTCACGTATGGGAGCACTTTGTATGTCGTGAGTGTCAACCGGGTTAGAAACATTTCATGATTGAGATCGGTTGACATCGCTTTCCCGTTCTAACTCACTAATCCTCGAACTCTCTCAAGTGGGGTTAATGAAGAAGCTAAATGGTTGTTAAAGTGTTGATGTCGTACCGATGCAGTACTTTTGACAAGTCCATTCACTGCGTTAGTTTTAACAGACCCCTCTGAGTCATTCCAGAGCACACGTTGTGCGCTTGTATTGCGACCTTTATTCTCCATGTCGATCGCAATTCACCTTGAAGTGAACTTGGATCACTTCGGTCAGTTGAGCCGTAGTTTGCCAGAAAAATAGACTCTCCTTTCATTAGGGTCGCCATGGTTCGTGGAACCTGATTCCGGCTTTGACTGTCACTGTGGCCTCCACGGGGGCAGCCACAGGACACCTGCGCCTACAGAGGGAACATGGGTGGCTCGCGCTGCACAACCCACAACTCCATCCACACACCCCATATCCAGTGTAAACCCGAAGAAATAAGACCGGGAGGAATGTAGATCGGGGTCACATTTCATCGACGGAGTCGGCCCACGCTCCTTCAACGTGCACAACCGTAGCTTTCCTGTCAGTCAAATTGAGTAATCACGCGTACCAGACGTACACAAGGCGGTGGCTTGGTCGTAGCCCGTTCCACATTGGATGCATGGAGCCACGCTTTGAGCCAATCACAATCACGGGGAGCATGCACATCCTTTCCCCGTAGCCAAAATTTAAAGTCTTCTGTAGCCAGTATTATCGAGGTATCGGTTTTTCGACAAACAGGCACCTTTTCTACACTGGCATCCAGCGCAGCCACACCGCGGAAATCAAACAGCCAACACAGAATATGGAGAAAAATAAACAAGCAAAAATTGGCACGGAATATGCAGCAGAATAACGGAACTAAGCAGATCAAATAAAATAGGGTACATTTTATTCGGCTTAAGAAGATCAAGTTCAAGTGTAAGCCGGTGTAGCGCAACTGCGGTAGAGAAGCATGACGTATGCAACACCGATTATAGCATGAGGCACACAGGGAAGACACTTCTGCCCGTTAAATATCATATCATATTTATGCATGCAACGCACCGTTTTCTCTCTGTCAGGCAAATACACCTACGTGGGCTTTCCTACACGTCTGCTATCGACTTGTTTGTCTGGGCAGCCTGCCATCTTGGTAGCGGTGCCATATGATGGTTGCGGCATAAATGTGGGATATCGATCACGAGAGGAATACCCGGTTGTGTGATTGTTGCGGTCCCTGCTTCAAACAACCGGGTGACGTAATACCCTAAAAATGATTCGGTTAGAGGACAGCTTCGTTAGTCAATCGGGGCACCAACGTTACCTGCACTTTCTTTTGCAAACACAAACAAATCCGGGCCAACTACTAGGTTCAAAATAGAACCATCACGAGCATACAAGAGATCGTGCGCGTGTTGGTGACTGGTAAATCTCAAAATAGCAACCACTGGTTATGCATAATAAAGTAGATGGTATTTTAGACATTGCATAATTGTGTGTTTCCGCTTCGCACGTGCATTGAAAGCACATTGTAAACCACACAACTTCTCCGAGCAGAATGCGAGATAAGTACACTCGTGTGTAATGAATCGATCAAAATTACTTTCGATGTGGTGAATTTTTGATGCATTCGTGATGAATGTGATGCGTCTCGAAACGCTTGAGATGCATAACTTGTTTATCTGCGTCTCTAACCGCGGTGGCTTGCAACACAACGGAATAAAACGTAAAGCAGATGAATGTTGGGTGTTGGCTGCCCGAAAACCACAATTGACGATAGATTTTGAATTTGTTCCGTCTCATCAGATGGAGGTAGCAGGCGTCGAACCCGGGACCATTGGGATGTTAGTTGGAACGTTTGTTTCTACGACAACCATCTTCGAATCTAATACATCTCATTAGGCATAGATTGCAGGCAGTTACGGTCCCAGTGATTCAATTGACCATGGCTAACTTCAATAGGAATCGTGGTCTGCATTGACATTACACATCGCAATTCGTTCACACAACAAGTGTTTCAAATTAACCTTTCAATTCGAGTAACTGGAATTTCAAGCTATTGCTGATCCACATACGATTGCTACTTCGTAGGGAATCGCCAATGAAATACAACGCGCTTTACCCATTAAGATCATCCGTACCTGCAGTTTGTCATATATGATCCTTCCAGCAACTGTGAGAAAACACACATTAGGATCTGGAAATGAAATTACGGCAAACGTTTAGCGAAGTTAAGTGTGTCAGAACAGCCGATGAACAGACCAGTAGTTTAGTTGAATCGCGGGATAACGCAAAGATTGTATCATCGAAATGTCACCCGCAAGCGAACCATGTGAGTCGGCGTACTGTTCGAACAGAGGCAATGTTTCTCTATGTGATTATACAGTCTTTAATTAAATTATTCCGTCTAATGGTTCCGGTGATGCAGCCGAAATCAGATCTAATCAGATTAATGCCGTAAGAAGACGAACACTGGCAGATGTCAACATTTCGTATTGTCTCTTCAGTGCCAACACAATAACATGAAAATATATAAGACGACAGGTAGGGTGAGACCGCAACAAGTTAGAACAGGGTAGAGGGACAGGCGTGACACCGCTACGCCCAGGGCAGCCGTAGGCTTACGAACAGCTGTTTCTGCACACAGAGTGCGGGTTTGATACGGCTGATAGCGACTGCCTCTGAAAAACGTAGGAAACGGGCGTTAGCATGTCTTAACACGATTGTAAACATTTTGGCCGGATCAAACTGGTGACAGATGGCCAGTAAATGCCTACCTATGGATCACGCAGGTGGTTTACGTGAACAGATGGTATGAGCAACGGACGACTGGGTGATTTGACGCTGCAACCATTTAGATATATGTTCCCTTATTCTGGAGTTCAACGATCTATTGGTACGGCTTATGTAATGTATACCACAACTACAAATTGGTAAATACAATGTGAGTTGGCGCCAATAGGTTGTCTTTCTGTCATTGGGGTAACAGGTATTCGATTA